TCAATGTCTGGTGGTGGGGAAACCACAGAGATCTCAGGAATTGACAGCCGTGGCTCACAAAGCTTGTCACAAGTCCTAACACTTCTGAAGGAGCATGGAGAACGCTGTCCTCCAGGGCAGGCTTTTCTCTTTCTGTTACGGAGATTTGAGCCGTGGCCCAGAATAGGAAGAATAGTAGGCTCATTGCCCAGCGCTAACAGCTGTCAGCATTTGAGGGCTAGCTCGTGATAAGTTACTGTGGGGCTTAATTGTTGAGTCGTGGTTGAGTTTGTGAAGTGCCCAGGCCTCTGCACCCACGTCACCCTCCTGGCATGGTGTGCTCTCACATGCACAAGTCCCTGACTTCTGCCTGTGCTGTGTGTCTGTTTCAGGTGGAGGTGGAGGCAGTGTCCCTGGAATCGAGAGGATGGGCCCCGGCATTGACCGCATTGGGGGTGCCGGCATGGAGCGCATGGGCGCAGGCCTGGGCCACGGCATGGATCGTGTGGGCTCCGAGATCGAGCGCATGGGCCTGGTCATGGACCGCATGGGCTCAGTCGAGCGCATGGGCTCTGGCATCGAGCGCATGGGCCCACTGGGCCTCGACCACATGGCCTCCAGCATCGAGCGCATGGGCCAGACCATGGAGCGCATCGGCTCTGGTGTGGAGCGCATGGGTGCCGGCATGGGCTTTGGCCTCGAGCGCATGGCCGCCCCCATCGACCGTGTGGGCCAGACCATTGAGCGCATGGGCTCCGGTGTGGAGCGGATGGGCCCTGCCATCGAGCGCATGGGCCTGAGCATGGAGCGCATGGTGCCCGCAGGCATGGGGGCTGGCCTGGAGCGCATGGGCCCTGTGATGGATCGCATGGCCACCGGCCTGGAGCGCATGGGCGCCAACAACCTGGAGCGCATGGGCCTGGAGCGTATGGGCGCCAACAGTCTCGAGCGCATGGGCCTGGAGCGCATGGGCGCCAACAGCCTGGAGCGCATGGGTCCTGCCATGGGCCCCGCCCTGGGCGCTGGCATTGAGCGCATGGGCCTGGCCATGGGTGGCGGCGGCGGTGCCAGCTTTGACCGCGCCATCGAGATGGAGCGTGGCAACTTTGGAGGAAGCTTCGCAGGCTCCTTTGGTGGAGCGGGAGGCCATGCTCCTGGGGTGGCCAGGAAGGCTTGCCAGATATTTGTGAGGAATGTAAGTGGCTCTTGAGGAACTTCTCAGTGGTTTTACACAGAAAGGGAGGAGGGAGGCAGGGAGTCAGCAGTACTGGATGGCGGCAGGTTGACGTCAGAGGCGATGCCCTCAGAAGGGGAGCTGAGTAGCATGCGAGGCCACCTTATCACTGTCCCCAAAGTTTGATGTTGGTAGGGTGCGAAGGGGATGTGAGAGCTTAAGACACTTGTGCAGCAAGAATAGTGGGTTTGTGAAAGCCTGGGCTTGTCTGACTACTAGGTGGAACGGGCAGCGAGCTGAAGAACTCCAGTTTCTCGAGCCTTTGGCTTAAAGAGCTGCTAAGCCTTGGCTTCACAGTTCAGAGGAAAAACGGCTGTGTCTGAATTATCTTTAGCAAATTGACCACCTTCAGCTGCTGTTGGCTGGTTCTCTGGGCCGCTCCCCACAGGCAGCTACGTTGTGCTCTCCTGTGACACTTGCACGGGCAGATAAAGCCCCAAGGGAGTGCCCTTGGCCTGCTAGTTTAGAAGCTCATCCAGAGAGACTCACTTCGCTCTCGCTGGTGGGCTCAGTGTGAGGTCAGCCGGTCTCCGCTGAGGAGTCCTCGGAGACCGCCGTGCTGCTCCTGCGTGGGGCCTGCTGGGGTCGCTCATCCATCTCTCCTTGTCTCCCACAGCTCCCGTTTGACTTTACATGGAAGATGCTCAAGGACAAATTCAACGAGTGTGGTAAGTGTTTGCCCAGGGCTCTCTGGGGGCTTCCGTGTGTTGTGGCTTCAGAAAGCGGAGCTTGTGGGTGACGCCTTTGTGGTGCCACGATGCTTCCATCCCAGTTTGCACAGCTACCGGCCACGACTAGAGGCCTGATGAGACATGCCATTTTTCTGCCTGTGCACACATTCAGGCGGCTTGTTGAGTTACCCACTGTGTGTCAGACACTTTTCCGCTGTGTTCTCATTTCATTCTTAACTATCTTTGTTTCTCCTTTTCCTGCTTTTGAAAGGAGGTCGTGCTGTCCCCATTTTACACGAGTCACGCAAAGTCACGTTCCCAAGGTCACATGGCTTCTCAGTGACACTAAAATAAATACGTCTGAGACAAGGTCTCTTTCCACCACAGCACTGTGGGTTCATGCCTCAGAGTCCTTGCCCAGCTGGTCCCACAGGTGAGGGCGCAGGCTCTGGGTGCAGAGCAGCCTCTGTGTGGATGCGGCTCAGGGTCTCTGGCTGTGGTTTCCTGGCACACCAGGCAACCATTCTGGAAGGTTCACTTTGTGGCCGAAAGGAAGTTGAGCTGTCTCTGGGTGAGCGCCGCCCCCGCCTCCTTTAACCTTGTCAAGTGGGAACCCCAGCCCTGAGCCAGAGGCCTGTCTGGGCGGCTCGCTGGATCAAGGCCTCCCCAGTGCTCTCGTTTCCTCCTTCACTGGTGGCGCCGATTTCCCCCTTCCTGCTGCTGCTCCTGGGGCAGCTCTTGAGCCACAGCCTGCCTGGGGCCCCCTTCTGCCCTCCTTCCCCTCCTTACTTGCCACATTGGAGGTAGACGTTCTGAAAAGTGAGATGGGATCCCGCCACTCCCCGTGCCTCAGGGCCTGGAGGTGTTCCTCACTGGCGGAAGAAAGTCCAAACTCATGAGCCCTTTAAGGCTTGGTCCCTTCCTCTTTTCATCGCACCATGCCCCCGCCCCGCCATGAGCTTGCCAGTGCTGTGCCCCAGAAGTGCTCTGTGGCCAGCTGTTACCGGCAGGAGGCCTCCTTCTAGTGAACTTCCACTTAAGCTAACTCAAAACTCCCCATGGGAAGCCTCCCGGCTGTTGGCCTGCCCTCAGGCCAAGTTAATGGCTCTAGAATTGGGGACCCCTAGCACTGGCCACACTGTTGTGTCCTTGGCTCTCCCAGGAGCAGAGCCCTGCATTTCTACACTCTTCCCCTGTGCGTTTGTTTCCATGACGCTTGACACATACCTGGATGCTCAACCCACGCCTGAGTGAGTGTGCAGCCCACTCACTATTACACACCAGTGGACAGTGCACAAGTGTCCCCTGTATGGGCGATGGCCTTGTAAACGTGGTGGTGCAGGGTATTAAAGAGGAGGCCTCTGGAACTTGGCGATGAAGTTGGCCTCCCACAGCCGCTAGTTTAGACTCGAGTGTCAGGGCGGCACCTGAAGCCGCCAGAAATGCTTATCACGGGGCAGTCAGACCGCTGTCCTGCTGGCAGAGGAATGGCGGTGTGGCTGGGGGCCGCGGTCACTGGGTTCCCACCTGCGTTCTGAGCGTTCAGGCGCCAGGGCCACACTCCCTTGGCCTCTGTCACCCGAAATCCACCAGGTGATCTGGACTGAGTGGAGCCCAGGCTGAGGCTGTGCTCCGGGTTTGCCTGATGAGTGTGGTCTCTTCTTCCCTCCTGTGCCCAGGCCACGTGCTGTATGCCGACATCAAGATGGAGAATGGGAAGTCCAAGGGGTGCGGTGTGGTTAAGTTTGAGTCGCCAGAGGTGGCTGAGAGAGCCTGCCGGATGATGAATGGGATGAAGCTGAGTGGCCGAGAGATTGATGTTCGAATCGATAGAAACGCTTAAGCAGTTGCCTTTTTTAAACATCGATACCAGACCTCTGAATTTGTATTTTTTCTTGTTAACCATTTTAATTTGTTGGCTGGATGTATAAAGATGTTTAAAAAATTCAGTTGCTTTTTGGGGTAATTTGAATTACTTTTTTAATGACTGGGGTTCCATTTGACTGTTTGCATTGAGATTGCAATGTGCGCAATTTTTTTTGTAGTTGTGGCATCTTGTTGACATCAAATATGACTTTGATAATAAATACCAGTTCCTGAAAGCTGCTTGCTTTTGCATGTGTGTTGGGGGGCAGCCACCCGAGGTTTGGGGAGCAGAGCCACTGAGTCTCCTTTCTCCCCTGGAGCGGTGGCCCCGGGAGTTGGAGGCCGTTGGCCCCGCCTACTTTAGGAAAACTGTGAAAGTTGAATCCGCCAGAGCCGGTAATGGAGCACCTGGCTGGGAGAGCACCTGGCTGGGAGAGCCGCCCGTCTGCCCTGGTGCGGTGGGCCTGTGGGCACAGATGCTGCGCCAGGCTCTGTTCCAGTTTGGCTTTGTCGGGCTGCTATAACAAACATGGGTTTCTCAGCTCGGGAGGCTGGGAAGTCCAAGGTGAGGGCGCCGGCAGGTTCAGCGTCTGGTGAGGGCCCTGGCGCACAGATGGCACCTTCCAGCTGTAACCTCGCGTGGCAGAAGGGACATGGGCCTTTCTCGGGCCTCTTTGATGAGGGCACGAATCCCATCCATGAGGGCAGAGACCCCAGTACCGTCACGCTGGGTGTTAGGTTTTCAGTGTAGGAATTGGGGTGGGGGTGGGGGTGCACATTCAGTCCATAGTGGCTTTTTTTTGCTAAAATAAACCAAGCAGGTGCAAGGGTCTGAACAGATGTGGTTGTGTCAGGGATTCAGGCTGAACTGGATTCCTGGGCTCTGTCAGAACTGGGTCACGCTCCCTGCTCCCCTCCCAAGACGTGACCTCATGCACAGGTTGGCAGCGTGTGAGGACCTGCCGCTGCTGCTTGGGATGTGGGCTGGGGGCGGCTCCTACCTGCCTCCCCTCCACTCTGGCTGGCACATGGCGAGGAGCCCCATCTCAGGCAATCCCACCTTGAGGTCTAGCAAGGCGCCCCCTCCCCGGCCACTTTTCTCCCTGCCCCACTTTTCTCTTCCTGCCCTTTCTCTCTGAGGGGTGAGACCCTGGAGGAGAGGGTCGATGACCCCCCCCTCCCCCCAAGTGTTTGATCATGGCTCTGCTCTGTGCCAACCAGGAGGGAAAAGAAAGACAGGAAGCAGGGACTGCTTTAAACAGGGGCTTTATGTGGTCAGCTGGAGTCTGGGGGTTCTGTGGCCGCCAGGCTGGGATCCAGGGCTCCTGGGTTTAGCAGGTGGCTCAGCTGGTGGGTTGTCCCAGGTCCCCACACCTGCAGGCCTTATCGTCCCCGGGGGAGTGGTTGGCTTTCCAGAGGGTCTGCCGAGGAAGGGTGACTTCCAGTGACACCTCCCCACATAAGCAAACAGGGAACAGCCCCTGGGGGTGGGGCATACCCCCTCCCGAGGCACTGTGGTCCCTTCCAGCGCCCCAGAGCATCTACATACCCCAGAAGCCCACGTCGTCATATACTTCCGTTTCCCTGGTGGAGAACACAGTGGGTCAGCAAGGCCCCCGGCCCATCCCCCAGCCCGTGCCCCCCTAGTCCCGGCTGCACTCACAGGGGCAGTAGAGCTGTCCTGGGCACGTAGCCATCTGCGAAGAGAGGAGGCACGGGTGAGTGCTTGGCCTTGTGGTGGCCCCCTCTCCCCAGGGCCGCCGGGTCTGCCTCACTCACACTTGCCCTTGGTGTCCCGGCATAGCATCTCGTCCTTGTTGGTGAACTCGATCACCTCCAGGATCTCCCCACGCCGGATCCCCAGGTGCTTGCCGCCCCCACGACGGGTCTTGGCATTGGGGTCGATCATCATCCTCGTCTGAATCACAATCTCCCCTTCAAACTGGAGGGAGAAGAGAGAGCTTTCGCCTGTGCTGCCACCCAGGACCCCTGGCTTCCTTCCGAGGGTGGAATTGGGGGCCTTGGTCAACTGGGGCTGACCCTGGCTTAGCCTGGCGTCCACACCTTGAACTTCTTCCGGAACTCCCGCTCAGCCTTCTCCGCCTTCCGGATCTGCTTCAGGACCTTCGGGTCCATGGCTGGCATCTGCTGTTCCTGGGGGCCCTTCTCCTTCCTGACCCCCAAAGGAATTGGGTGCTGGTGAGCAAGGTGTGGGTCTCAGGAGTCCCCTTCCACTGTCCTCCCACAGCTCAGCCCCACCCTGTCCCATGCCCTTTGCCCTGTGGTACCTGAGCTCTGGGTCTTGGGGTGGCCTCCTGGGGGACTGCTGGGTAGATGGCACTTCATCTGGGGCAGTCAGAACGCCAAGTTAGGGCAGGGCCCGTTGGCTCAGCCTCTCAGCCTGGCAGCTTGATCTTAAGTGAGCCTTCCCTGACGTCAGTTCAGAGGACATCCGTCCCCCAACCGCTGCTGCCCACCCTCTCCACATCCCTCTCCTCCTCCTCGGCGTGAGTTCTAGGAGGTTGCCTTGCATTTTCTGCACTCCTGCTGCACGCCAGGTACAGCACTCATTTCACCCCTCACACAACCTTATTGGTGACAGTGGGCCATACTGCCATTCTCAACCGGCTGATGACAAAATGCCCAGAGAGGTAAATAACCCGTCTAAAGCCAGCCAGCTGTTAAGGGATAGAGGCAGGATTTACTTTAGGCTCTTGAGGCCATTTCGTGTCTACCCCCTAGGGCAGATTGGGTTCTGGGAATTGTAATGAGGTTTGGGTCAAAAATAAGGCAAAGGGAAGCATTTCCTAGAGGCAAAACGAAGTCCGCCTCTGAGAAGGGGCTGACGGGGTGGGGGGTCGGGGGGTGGGGCTCAGACTGGCCTGGCTGATGCTGAGATCTGGACTGTGAGGGCTGATTCCTAGCGAATGACCAGCTTGCCAGGTGTGAGCCCTGCTGGCCAAGGGCTTGGCTTACAGCGAGAGCCTCACGAACACCAGGTGAGTGAAGGATCCAGAACCGGGCACCCCAGCTTTCTGCCGTCCTCTTTGAATGACTCAAAGCGTCACCCTGGACGTTGGAGGCCAGCAGTCCCTCCCATCAAGTGCCCAGTGCTGGGTGTTTGTGGGTACACTCGCACCCCTTCAGACACTGAGCTTGCCTCCAGGCCTGATGTTCGGATGGGTGCCGTGCACGGTCCCACCCAGAGCACTCTGCAGCTGCTCCTCCCTCCCAGAGGCTGCCCAGGCCAGAGATGGTCACCCAGCTGAGAGCGGTCTTGACTCAGGTGCCCCAGGGCCCCTACAAAGTTGTCCACAGCAGCAGAGAGCACAGACCAGGCGCACCGTGGCCCGAGCTTCCTGGCTGTGAGCCTGAGTAGGCCATCCTCAGATCCTGGGGAAGAGCTGGGCCTGGCCCCTCCAGAGGAGTGCCCGGCTGTGCACGGAGCCTCTGGAGTGGAACTGCCACTGCTGCCAGGAGGCGAGAGTCCTTCCAATGGAGGAGACTGGAAAAGGGCAGAGCAGACTTCGGGACAGTCTGCACACCTGTGAGCCCCACATGGGGCCTCAAGGAGGGCGAGATCCAGGGAAGCGAGTGGCACGGAATGGGGAGAAGGCGGTCCAGTGGCAGGGACAGTGAACAGAGGTAGGGATGTGCCTGGTGGGTTTGGGGTTAAAGAAGGAGAGGGGAAGCAGTGGCCAGAGGCACTCCCTCCCCACGTCCCGAGCCCCAAGAGTGGCCCCCAGACCCTGGCCACAGAGCCTCACTGGAGCAGAAGCAGGAGGGGCCCTGCCAGGAAGCTCTGTGCCAACAGAGACGTGTTGCAAGCAGCACCCCAGGGAAAGCCCGGGAGAAGCAGATGGGGCCCGGAGGGAGCCTTGGCGGCAGAGGCCTCAGCCGGAGATCCCCCAGGCAGCCCTGGTGTGAGGTTTCTCTGCCGGAAGCTCTTCCCAAAGACAGGGCAGGGAAGCAGCCTGGCGGCAGAGGGCCTGGGCTCCAGTCCCCAGGGCACTGCGTACTAGCTCTGTGAGCTGGGGCAAATCACTTCTGGGATCCTCAAGCTTCCACATCTATAAAATGGGTGGGACATTGCCTTGGAAGCCATTTTTTCTGTTCACGCGTTGCTGGTTGAAGGCATTAGCCCTGGAGCTAGGGGGCAGGCGCAGGCCTCCTGCGCCGCCATCCTGCTCTCCAGGAGCAGAGACTTGGAAGAAGGGAGCACAGGGCCCTTGGAACTCAGACCACTGAGAGCAAATGAACTGCCTGGGCCTGCAGACCCAGAGGATCTGCCACACCCCTTCTCCAGCCCCTGCTGCAGAGTTCAGGCCCCTGTCCTGCCTGGACATCCCTCAAGCATCTCAAACAGCAGGTCTAAGGTGGAACCTGACACTTTGTCCCCTACCCAGGGATGGCTCCACTCTGCACCCAGGCTGCGGGCTTGAGACTTGGGCCTCAGCCATGTCAGGCGCTTGCTCCGTCCCTCTCGCCCCTGGAAACAGCGCCAGGTCCTCCTGCTGCTTTTGAGCTGATTGTCCCATTGCTCTCTATGCCTTCTGCCACCACCTGGGCCACACCCGTCACACCACACTCACTGGCTCCTGGGCTGCCCTTCCGCACACTGTTCCACCCACCAGGAGCTGGTGTGACCTTTCTGAAAAGCCCCTCTCCCCTCTGCTTTCTCCCCTGGCACTGCCAGGAAGGGGGACTGTCACTTGGCCTCACACCCGCAGCAGGGCAGAAAATGCCCTTGTGCGACGGACGTTGCCAGGTGCCTGGGCAGGCTGGTCTGGCTGAGGGCCCAGCCCCACCACCAACAAACCTCTGTCCTTGTGGCTGGTGCTGGAGTCGTCTGCGGACTCCACGTCGTCATACACCTCGTAGATCTCGTCCCGGGCCCTGCGGGGATACCTGAGTGAGGGCCCCCTTCAGCCGCACCCCCTGCGCCCGTGCCCCTCGCCCCGCACACTCACTGCAGGAGGTCTGCAGGCTGGCGGGCCTGGAAAAGGGTTCCAGCAGAAGAGGGGGTCCTCCGTGGAGCTGTGGAGAGACGGGAGTGGAAGGGAGGCCAGCACGGCCATGGCACCTCTGTCCCCTCCTTGCTGCCCGTGCCGCCTGACCCACCTGTGGCCGCTGCCGAGGGCCTCCGAAAGCTCTGGACATCCCTGGGGCCTGGGGGCAGCGGGGGCTTGGCCGGAGGGGGTCCCAGGCTGCTGACCGAGGGCAGAGGCCTCCGCCGGGGTTTGAGGCTCAGCCTTGACCCTCCACTGGGAGTGAGCGCCCCTGGTCTCTGCTGCCTGGCTCCGAACCCCGGGCTGAGCGGGAACCTGGGTCTGCCACCCGCCACAGCAGTGGGCAGTGAGCTCTCGGACACGGAGCCAGGGAGCAGGGGCTTCCTAGGGAGATCCCCGAAGAACTCAGGCTGCGGGCGCTTCTTGAGCAAAGCGCTGGTCTCGGGCTGCGAGAACTTGCGGGGCGGCCCCCGGCACTCGACCTGCAGAAAATTCCTGGGGAGCAGGCTGAACTCGGGCTCCGAGGACGTCCTGGGGAGGCCGCCGTGCTCGGGCTGGGGGCGCTTCTTAGAGAGCGGTTTGAAATCCGACTGCCGCGGCCTCTTGGGAAGCGCACTGACCTCGGGCTCCGAGGACGTCCTGGAGAGGTCACCAAACTCAGGCTGCGGGGGCTTCTTGGGGAGGTCACTCAGCTGAGGCTGCGGGGGCTTCTTGGGAAGGGCACTGAGGTCGGGCTGCGAGGAGTGGGGGTGGGGCTCACTGGACTCAGGCTTCCAGGGGGGCGCCTGAGGGACCTCGCTGAACTCAGGCTGCAGCAGGGACTTCTTAGGGAGGCCGCCGACCTGCAGCTGTGGGGGCTTTCTGAGGTTTGCATTGAACTCGGGCTGCGAGGGCTTCGGGGTGGCCTCATTTGGCTCAGGCTGCCGTACCTTCCTGGGGAACGCACTGAATTTGGGTTCTGAGGGAGGCCTGGCAGGGTTGCTGAGCTCAGGCTGTGGAGGCTTCTGGGCAAGAGCGCTGGGCTCCGGCTGCAAGGCCTTCTGAGGGGCCTCACCGGCTGCCGGCTGCAGGGCCTTCCTGGGGAACAGAGTGGCCTCGAGCTGTGGGAACTTTTTGGAGAGTTCACTGGACTCAGGTTTGGAGGGCTTCTTGGGCAGATCAGTGAACTCAGGCTGCGGGGGCTTTCTCGAGAGATCAACGACCTCAGGCTGTGGGGGCTTCTTGGGGAGACCAGCAAACTCAGGCTGCGGGGGCTTTCTGGAGAGATCAGCGAACTCAGGCTGCAGGGGCTTCTTGGGGAGATCAGCAAAATCAGGCTGCAGAGGCTTTCTGGGGCGATCAGTGAACTCAGGCTGCGGGGGCTTCTTGGGGAGACCAGCAAAATCAGGCTGCAGGGGCTTCTTGGGGAGATCAGCGAACTCAGGCTGTGGGGGTTTCTTGGGGAGACCAGCGAACTCAGGCTGCGGGGGTTTCCTGGGCACTGCACTGAACTCGGGCTGTGGCTTCTTGGGGTGCTCGTTTAGTTCAGGCAGCGGAAACTTCTTGAGGGGTTTGTTGACCTCGGGCTTTGGGGGTTTTTGGGGTTGTTCGCTGGTCCCAGGCTGAGAGGCCTGGAACTTTGCTTGAAGGCTCCGGAAGTCCTGATGGCTCCCCTAGGGGACATGGAGCCAGTCAAGCAGGGACTCAAACACACAGGGGTTGTGGAGAGACCGCCTTGGGGACACACCCCCTTCCCTGGGCTCCCATTCTGCTAGCTCCTTTTCCCATCCTCTGCCCTTGGTTCTCTTCTCTGTCGGTCGGGGACTCCCACATTTCCCAAGCTCCTAAACCATACCTCCTGACCTCTCCACTTGGGCTCCAAATGCACACCTACCCTCTAGGACCCGACCTCCCCGCACCAGGACCTGACCTGCCCCCATCAGGACCCGACCTCCCTCTATCAGGACCTGACCTCCCCCTCAATCAAGACCCAACCTCCCCCTATCAGGACCCGACCTCCCCCGCAATCAAGAACCGACCTCACCCCGAATCAGGACCCGACCTCCCCCCACTAGGACCTGACCTCACCCCCATCAGGACCTGAGTTGCCCCACATCAGGACTGAGCTTCTGCCCCCCACCAGCCTGCTGCTCCCCAGCACCCCCCTCAGTTGGTGGCGCCTTCCTTCCCAGCATCCTCGAGATCCCCTCATTCTTGCACCGCCATGTCCCCAGTTCTTTCTGTTCTAATTTCAAAATACATCCGGAATCCAACCACTTCTCATCGCCTGCACTACTGTCACCCACTGGAGGAACTTGCCAGAAGCACCTTCCCCTGTTGCCTGGATTATTTTAACAGGCTCCTCCCTGTTCTCCCGCCCCCCATGCCTGGTCGGTCCCCCTACAGCAGCTGGGGGAAGTGAGTCAGTCTGTGCCCCTCTGCTTGAAATCCGGCAGCCTGCCTTCCTTTCTCAGCAGGCCCTGAACCAGCCAGCCAGCAGCCCCTACCTGGTCACCAACTCATCCTCCGACTCCTTCTCCATCCCCCTCCTTCTCCCCTCTCCTGCCCCTTGCCTGGGACAGTCCCCCACCGCGTGGTTCTCTTCTTCCTGCTCCTCCACTTCTCTGCTCCAGCCTCTCCTTATTAGGCCTTCTTACCTAATTGAAAACAGTCAATGCCCCCTTGCCAGTACGCTCCATCCTCCCCAGCCTGCACGGTTTTTCTCTCAGCACCTGCCACCTTGTGTCATACTATTTATTTCACTCCTATTGTTCTTGAAATGTGAGGGCAGCGCCGCGGCTTTTTCACTGCTGTCCTCTGAGTGCCTGGCACCCAGTTGGGGCTCAGTCAATATCTGCTGAAATAAAGAATGTACGCAGGGCACAGAGGCAGGCGTGGACTCAGCCACGTCCAGTCTGTCCATCACAGACTCACGTGGACGGATGCAGAGACACTGAGAGAGAGACGTGGAGGCAGAGGTGGGCGCAGGGGCTCTCTTAACGGTCCCAGACACCTGGGCCGACAGGGGTGCCCACGAGGCTGGCAGGCAGGCCCCCATGGAGGGCACGGGCAGGCCTATGCACCATCTGTGTCACATCCAGCCTGCCCCAGACACAGGCAGAGGCACAAGTGGGCCAGGCCTGCTCCACCCGACAAGGTACCCCAGAGGTGGTCTCGCTGCAGGCTCCCCAAGTCTGGCTTCACTGGGGTCAAGGAGATTGGGGGAGGGGAGGGGCAGAACCGCGTGGACTGTGCCCCCGTCACTGCCTCGCTGTCTTCATCCGGAGAACGAGGAGGGTGGCGATTCCTTTCTGGGGCCTGAAATGCCTCTGTGAAAGGTCCTCTACAGGGGGTGGTCGGGGAAAGGGCCCCAGGGTGACCCACAGGGCCACAGAATCAGGATCAGCAGGTGACCTTGGGTGACAGCCGGGGTGGGGGGACAGCGGGCGCATGACCCACTTTCTCATTCACAGGAAGCCCCTGCACTCACCCTGGCTGCCTGTTACCCGCTTGCTGTTCACGCTGACATGGAGGGAGGGGAGTAGTCCAGGAAGTGTCATCTGTGCCCCCTTATGGTCGCAGCCTCGCCTGGGCCACAGCCCCTTGGAGCCCAAGCTGTCTCAGGGGTGCGTCTTGGATGCTTCCCACCTCTGGGCCTTTGTGATGGTCACTCTCCGTTCCCAGATGGCTTTCCTGCCCTCCTCACTGCTCCACTCCCATTTCCACCCAGGCACCCTTTGCCTCCGGTCAGTTGGGGGCTCTCCCGGAGCTTGGGGACTCACTCACCATGGCTGCAGGCAGGTGGCGGGCCACGGGGCGAGTGGGCCACGGGGCCAGTGGGACCTGAGCCGGGACCGCTGCCTTCAGGAAGTGACTGTGGCTTTTGCTCCATGGGCCCCACTGGGTGGGGGCTGATGGCGGGGTGGGGAGGGCAGAGGAGGAAGGAAAGTAGGCGGAGACAGCCCCGGCCTGTCCCTAGATCCTGTGGGGTCGTTCTTGAGTCCCCGTCCTGCCTGCTACGGTCTCCTTCGTGCATCCGACCTCAACACTTTGTCAACCCGGTCACTAGTTTCTTGACTCCACTGTTCCCCTCCCTCCCACAACATGCTCTGCCGTGTGCTGACCTCCGGACCCCAGGGAGGACGCCATGCCAGGCCCAGACCAAGGTCCCCTCCAGCTGGGGCCTCCAGGAGGGGCTCAGTGGGGAAGGGGCCCGGTCAGCTCTGGGCCCCGAGACCCAGGGGTCAGGTGAGTGTGATGGGTGAGGCCCTTCTGCAGGCTCTCATTGCCTCATCCGCCTTCCTCATTGAGACACTTCCCCGTGGTCTGATTCCCCAGCTCTAAGCAGGACTTCCCTTTTATGTCACAGGGACCGTGGACGACTGGCTGGACAGAGGGCCCAACTGGGATGGCAGATTTGGTGGCAGACGGGAGGTGGGAGGAAAACTGAGACAGCTGGGAGGCCAGTGAAGAGAGGGTGAAGGGAGTGGGCAAGACCAGTCCTGTTAGGGAGTGAGGCCGGGCCAGACACAGGGCTGTGTCCCCAGGTCAGTGACCTCAGGCACAGATGAAGAAAGAGACTCCTCCCCCTCCCTCCCCCCCATCTCCCCCCCCCCTCCCAGAGTGCGGTGGCCTGATTCTCAGTCTGGCCTGAAGGAGATCACCTGAGGGCTTGACAAAAAGACAAAGGCTCCGGAGAATTCTCACCTAATTGGCCTCTGGGGTGTGGCGTGAACTTGGGGATTTTTTCTTTTTTTTTCTTTGAGGAAGATTAGCCCTGAGCTAACATCTGTGGCCAATCCTCCTCTTTTTGCTGAGGAAGACTGGCCCTGAGCTAACATCCGTGCCCATCTTCCTCTACTTTATATGTGGGACGCCTATCACAGCATGGCGTGCCAAGCGGTGCCATGTCCGCACCTGGGATCCAAACTGGCGGAACCTGGGCTGCCGAGAAGCGGAACCTGCGCACTTAATCACTGCGCCACCGGGCCGGCCCCTACTTGGGGACTTTTTAAACACTTGAGGGGGGGATTCTAACTCGCAGCTAAGCTGAGAAGCACCGGTACCCACCATCACCTTGAGATCCCACTAAGTGCACGTTCACCCTCAGGTCCGTGGTGGGGCCTCAGATTCCGGACCATCCCGGGTGATGCCCATGCTGCTGGTCTCAGGATCACACCTGGAGTAGCAAGGCTGTGGCAGTTTCCAGGAGGATCCAGTTAAGCCAGGGAAGGAGGCTCGTTTGTCTTGAGGAGCCCTTCATTCACCTCCCCTGCCACGAAGGCCACAAGGCGGCACAGTCGGAAATGACTGCCTGCTTGTCCGTATGTCTGCTTCAAGAGCGCGGCTTAAGGATTCTGGAGCCTCTGTGCCTGTGCATCCCCATTCCTGCACGGACACGCATGCACCCTGGCTCACATTCCCAGATGTGGGTCCCCCTCCGAACAGGAGTCCCGGGAGGCCAAGGATGACAGGTCTGGGTCCTCTCCCGGTCTGGGGGACCAACCAGCACAGGTTTGGTGAGTGAGGGAAAGAACGAATGAAAGGACAAGCGATTGTTGGCCGAGAGCATACAGGAGGCGCTCAAAGTGAGCTTAAGGACTGAATGACAGCTAGTGACTTCCCAGGCACTCGGTGTGGACACCCCCTGCTAGATCTCGCAGTCTGGGGGTGCCCACCCGGGCCAAGCCCCGGCGGGGCGCGCGCGCAGGCTCCCGGCACAGCCTCCAGGGGGCGCCCCCCAACTCCCCAGTGGGTGTGTGGCGCCGCGCGGCCGTGAACGTGGACAGGCGGCTCCACTGGGAGCTGCGGCACCGGAAGCCCGGAGAAGCGAGCGCGGGCCAGGGGCCGCCTTGGGGAGTTGGGGCGGGCTTCGTTGGGGCGAGCGTCTGGAAGTCTGCGGGCCAGGGACGGGTGCCGGGGTTCCGAGCGCTCGTGGGGAGCCCAAGCTGGTGCCTCCGGTCCCCGCGCCAGAGCCGGGGGAGGAGGGGGCGGGGGGTCGCGGCAGTGGCAGCCAGGGCGCCGGGCTCAGCCACGTGGTCCGGGCGCGCAGGCGGGAGGACTGAGCAAGTGGGCGGCCGATCCCGGGGCCTCAGGGCGTTCGGAGGAGTAGGAGCCCGGGATGGGAGTGCTCGGGCCGGGTCAGGAGCAGGGTCCGGGGAGGTGCGCCTAGGCCGGGGTGAGGGTAACCGAGGGGGCACCGCAGGCGATGGAGCTGGTGCTGGACAACTGGCGGGCGGGGGACGGGCACCCGGTGGAGCGGCTCAGCCTGTCCAACGTGAACCCGCAGTGGCCAGCCAGTCCCCGCTGGGCGAGATGGGTGCCTGTCTGGATATGCCGGCCCGTCTCATCCGTTCTCCCTTCGGACTGACACTCCTGGGCGCCCTCTGCTGGGCGGAATCGGGGCCCAAGGAGAACTCGGCTTTCAGGCATCTTGGAGTTGGGTGGCGCAGGGCGGGGAGGGGGAGCCGTCTGTAGGGTCCCAGCTTGGCCAGAGGGAGGGCAGGGGCTGCGGGAGCCCAGAGGGGCCCCTGGGCGCAGTAAGACTCCCCATCCGAGCAGACTAAGGCTGCCCATGAGTTGGGAGGAGCAGGGGTGGGAGGCGGACTTCTGAGAGGGCAGGGTGCCCAGGCCAGGTGGTGACGCGGCTCCTTAGGCCTCGGGGCAGAGTTTCAGCTTGCTCCAGAGGGCAGCAGGGGGCTGTGGACCCCTTGTGTCCACGGGAGGAACTACTGCGTGTACATCAGTGATGGGGCGGGGGGAGGTACCAAGATGCTGGCTCTGGGTCTCTCTGGAAAGGTCCTGACAGACTGGGAAGTGGCCTTGCCTGGATTGGAGCCGGGGGTGGGGGTGGGATGGCTGAATGAGGGGCTTGATGGGGGAAGAAAACTCCTGGGGGCTGGGAGACCCTGGTACCCTGGATATGGATCAGGGGCCTGGAGAACAGGGAGCATGGGACCCTGTCCCTGGAGATGCGGGAAAGGCTGGGACCGGGCCCGATACCCAAGGGAGAGCAGGGAATGGTGAGTGCCCGCCGGCCTTGGGGCCCCGGTCTTCTCATCTGCCTGGGGTGTCTCATCGGTGGTAACTATGCCCAGCTGCCAGGGTGGTGCAGAGTCAGCGAGGACCTTGGAACGGCCTGGCCAGAGTGCGAGCCCTAGGCTTACCATCCAAGCCTCACTTTCTCTATCTGTAAAATGGGCCCCTTGAGCCTGCCCCGACCTGCTCCCCAGGCAGCCATGGGCGTGGTGGCTGGAGGTATGGGCCTCACTCGAAAACATCCCCCCGGAAAACGGCCCCTCCGTCCGTCCCCCGAGTCCCTCTGAATCCTCACAAGGACTCCGGAGGGCGAGCGTCATGACACCCTTCCTAAGGACTAGGAAAGTGAGATGCCGGGAGGCTGACTCCTCCCCAGGGTCACAGAGTTGTGGTTCCAAGGCCTCTGGCTGAGGAGCAGGGAGCTCAGGGGGCCCCGGAGCCCCAGGTCCCCTGAGGGCCCATCTGGCCCCACAGCTGCTGCTGAGTGACAGGTGCCTCAGCGGGGGCCTGGAGGCGCTGGTGGGGTGGATGCCTGGCCTGAGCCACTGGGGCCTCAGCCGCAACCTCATCAAGGACATCGCAGCCCTGAGCACCCTGGGGAGGCCTTGGCAGCGAGGCAGGCAGGCAGGGCCCTGGGTCCAGGCGGGCTGGGTCCTAAGGGCGCCCGGAGCGCCCCCCTGCCTCTCCGGGAGCAGCTGAAGGGCCTGGAGCCGGGAACCGTTCAGCTGCACTATGGAGAGCCGGTGTCTGAGCCGCTGCCCCAGCTCCTCGACCTGGCTGGCCTCGACACCAGGGACCCTGCGCTGCCTGACACAGAGCCTGACACCACGCGCTGGGGGCTGAAGATTCCGAGGAGAACCACGTGAGGGGGGCAAAGAGAAGATGGGAGGGCAGCCTGGGGACTCCGCCCAGAGGGGGACTAGTGTCTTGCTGCCTGCAGGTACTGAGGAGGAAGAGGTGACAGAGCACAACTGTGATGAGGACTCAGAAAATGGGGAGGAGGCTGCAAGGAGTGGAGCAGGGTGGGGGTGGGGACAGGGACCTGGGCTTTGGGTTCCTGCTCACAGGAGGAAGAGGAAGAGGAGAACGAGGAGGGAGATGGTGAGTATGGCCCTGAGAGGAAGTGGGGAGGCTCCAGACGTGGCCTTGTGGCCTTCTAAGAGAACAGGATCTTCATCCAGAGAGCTGTGGGGAGCCACCGAAGGGGACGAGGCAGGAGAGTGGCACAATCAGAAGAGAGCCCTGTTTCCAGGGGTGTTCAGAGTCGGGGGAAGGGCGGGGGGGGCTGCTTCAGGTATCCCAGGATGAGAAGAGGGTTGAGGCCTGGGCCAGGGGACCATGGGGCTGGAAGGGAGCAAGATGCAGGAGTGAAACCAGCCCCTGTGGGGTGGCTGCCAACAACACATGGGACTTCCATACCCAGGAGGCCTGGCCCGCTGGGTTCTGGGGACAGGAGGGCTGCGACAGCAGGGTGGCACCAGATTTGGAAGCCTGGCCCTGGCCTGACTTCCCAGGAAGGAGGAAAGAGGAGGACGGAGATGGGGCAGAAGGGGGAGGCAGGGGACCCAGGTTCTCCAGGGCAGTCCTTGACCCTCCCTCCCCAGAGCTGGGGCAGCCAGAGAAGAGGGACGAGGATGGAGTCATGCGAGCCCCAGCCTGCCAGAGTGCCCACCCTGTCCCCTCCCTTGAGTCAGCACTGGCCCCAGGATCTGGGGCTCCAGCAGGGCCAGGCTCCCAGCCTGTCTTCCCAACTCCTGGGACTTAAGTAAAACTGGCAACTTCCATCCCCTCCGGTTTCGGGAAGCGGTGGGACAGGACAGCAGGCAGAGGCCAACCCATCTACAGCTGGAGACCTGGGTCCCTGTTGGAGGTGTCAGGGCAGGTGGGACACAGGTGGGCGGGGAGGGGGGAGGCCTGCCCCCTCCCAAGATGGGAGTGCCCCAGGACGGCTAGACTGGCCCGCTGTGCTTCAGGGGGACAAGGGACCCAGACACAGCACAAGCTGGCTCATGACGCCTCTTTTATTGTCCCCCCCACCCCGTCCACCTCAGTCTCCCCCCAAATTACAAAAGTATCCACTTCTCAAGGCCCACCCCCAACGCGGCGGGGTTCAGAGCGGCGAGAAAACCGGACAGTCCCCCTCTGACAGCAGCGGCGACACTTTGGGTGCCAGCGGGGCCGGGTCTGGGTGGGGCAGAGGAGGGGGCGCCTGAGCCTCGGCCCCGCCGCTCGCCTCGGGGCCCCCACCCTCCCCACCCGCGCGCTCCCGGGCCTTACCGGGCGGCGCGGCGGGGCGCGGCGGCCCGGGCGCGGGGCCCGTGGGGGCGACGGGGCGGTGGTCCTCCAGGTGCAGCGTCATGGCGGGCCGCGACGCCGTGGAGAAAGCGCACTGCATGCACGAGTAGCGGCCGCGCGTGTGCTCCCACACGATGCGGCTCGGGGCCGCGTGCCCTGCGGGCAGGCGGGACGCCGTCAGGCCCGGGGCCCAGGACCCGTCCACCCCCGGGGACGGTGCGCGAGGGCGAGGGCGGCCGGATCTTCCCCCGCCTCCCCATCAGCTCCGGGCGCCGGGGGTCTGGCCGGGCTGATCCGTTTCTCCCGGGCGTGTACCCCCCTGGAATGGGGGGCTCCGAACTTGACTTAGCCGCGTCCCCACTCCCATCCCCGGAACCACCGCAGGGGGACAGACTCGGGAACGGGGCGCGAGTCACACGGAGACGCCGGCGCAGAGGAAGGCGCAGGGGCCAGTCATTTTTAAGGCAAAATCCTGTATTTTGGGGGCGGCATTTCTGGCCACCTGGGAAGGGGGCGGGCACCGCTGCCTGCCAGATATCCCTGGGCCCGGCAGGGGCGCAGCAAAGGAGTCCCCTCCACCCCTCCCTGGTGGTCACCTGCACGCACCTGAGGGCGCGTCGGAGCCGCCCTGGGGTCTTCGCGGGCTGCCGCCTGTACCTGCGGGACAAGGGCGGGTCAAGGTCAGGAGCCAGAGCGCCCCAGTCCCCTCCCCCCAGGCGGCCCCGCCCCCACACTGACCTTGGCTCTTTTTCCAGACGGCGGCGCTGGAGGTGGGCGGCCCGGGCGCGGCGGCTAGGAAGGGGCGCAGGCGCGGGGGGCTGAGGCCAAAGGGCGCGGGGTTCAAGAAGGGCAGGAAGGGCCCGGCGGAGGCAGGGGCGGGGGTCGTGAAGGGCTCGAGCAGCGGGAACGGCAGGCCCGGTGCCGACGCGGGGTCGGACTCCGGGGGGCGCTCAGGCGCCGGCGGCTCCTTGTCGAGGGCTGGGGGCGGCGGCGGGGCTGGGCTCTGCGCATGCTCGGCGCAAACATGCAGGTGCTTGAAGAGCGAGCGGTGCGTGCGGAAGCGCAGCAGGCAGTTCTCACACCTGGGGGCGGGCACAGGGCTGGGTCTCCCGGGGGTCGGGGAGCCTAGGCCCAAATCACAGATTCCCCACCTGGGGGGAGGAGCTGGCCCTAAACGCCCCCCTCCTGTGACCGCGACCCTTCCGGACCCCTCCGGGTCAGAGCCCTGGGAAAACGAGGAAGGAAGTCTCCATTTTGACTTGGGCGGTCAATTTTCTTCTTGGGAGGTCGAGAGGGGCTGGGCAGAGCCACACCACGTAAGCCCCGCCCCCGAGCCCCTGGGACTCGTTTCAGTAACCAGTTTCTCTTCCAGGCTGGTGAGGACGGGGCTTGCCCGAGGCCACACCCGCCCCCAGACCCAACCCCCTTGACTGGGAAGGGAGAAAGGCCTGGAGCCCGGGGAGTGGGGCTATCACACCAGCGGCGGGCGAAGCTGCCCGGGGCCTGGTCACCGAGCACCAGGGGAGGTCGCGGGTGGTCAGGGTCTCACTTGAAGTAGCGATTGGGCTTGTAGTGCAGCTTGCCGTGTGCCACCAGTTCCTGCATGCTGGGGAAGGTCTCGGTGCAGCTCAGGGCGGAACATCGGAAGAGCTTGCCTGGCAGGGCAGGGGCGAAGGACAGAGGAGTGGAGCGGGGTGGCCAAGGCCCGCCTCGAGGCTCTGCCTGCCTCCCCACCACCTACCCTGGCCCTACCTTCCAGGGACTGTGTGGGTGGGCAATGGGTCCGCAGATGTTGTGCCAGGTCGCGAACGCTGGGGAAACTGAGGCAGCAGCCAGGGCTGGAGCAGGGAATCTGCTTCCCTGCAGGATGCACAGAGCAGGGGTCACCCGTCCCTTCCCCACGCGCGCTGTCCAGGGCTCTGCTCCCGCTGCCAACAGACTGAGGTGCCAGAGGGCAGGAGGTGAGCTGAGCTGGCCTGGCTTAACACTGTAGCCACGGCCTGGCGTACACAGTGCTCGGTGAACAGTGACTGGCATCCCTCTAAATGGGCCCCAAGTTTGGAGATCCTCTGCACTCTGTTCCAGGGCCTGTGACCCCCCAGAAGGCCCCATCACAGGTCACCTGGAGGCGGGCGTCGCCTGGGAGGCCGCAGGTCCTCACTGGTCCCGGAGACTGTGCTGGTCGGGCCAAGGCTGGGTCCAGGGGCAGGCTGGCCACTGTCTGGGGCTGGGGAGGCACCCTGCTGGGTCCCTCCAGGTGCTCCCCGGTCCCACATCGGGGGTGTGGCTGCCCGCTCAGGGCCAGGCTCCTCCCCCATGGAAGAGGGGATGGCTGCAGCAGCCACAACTGGGGACAGCACCTCCTTGTCGGTCTCACTGGAGCCGGGCTCTGCAGTGGCCGGCATGTCCGCGCTGGGCCCCGAGGGTTCCTCCTCCTGGCGGAAGGAAGAGGCAGGGAGAACCCCTCTGGGCCCGGGGTCTGCCTGGGCCAGCCAGGGGCACCCCTCCCACCCCGCCAAGACCACTGGGCATTCTTGAAACAGCAAATGCCCCTGAGATGTCATCCTAAGGAGGCACCATCAAGGGAGGGCAGGGGGTGAGGGTCGACTGAGCTCCCGCCTCCTGCATCCCCATCTTCAGGAAGGAGCTGGGAGGTGTCCCAAATGCAGAAAGGGGTATCTGTCAGAAATCGCCCATAAAAGACAAGCATCCTCTCCTCCCAACTTGGGAAGGAGGGAGGCCGACTAAGCGGCAGGGGCGTGGCCTAGAGGGAGTGGGCGGGACCAAGGCTATGAAGGCGGGGCTCCGAGCAGGGCGCGGCCAGGAAGATACAGGAGGGGCCCGAAGTGGCCAAGCGGATTGTTCGAGGCCTGAGAGATAAAGACCCACCGGGATCGAGGTGGCAGAACTCGGAGGTGCTGGGGACCCGGATGTACAAGGCCCGGGGGCGGAGCCTGATCCCTGTGGGCGTGGCCCAGTCGAGGCCAGGCCCGGAAGTAGGGGGTAAGGCCGAGTGACAGCGAGCCGCGGGAGAGTGCCCGGATGTGGGGGCGGGGTCCGCCGGAGGGTGTGTGCGCGACAGGGCCTCTCCCCGCCAGTCCCCGCTGGTTCGCCGCGCCCGCGCCCCTGGCGCTGCGCTCACCATCCTCGGCCCGGCTCGGCCTCTTGTTCCCGCGGCTCCGGCGGCTCGGGCTGAGGCTGCAGCGACTCCCTGGGCGGCCGCGGGCTCACGCTCACGTCGGCGCCATTTTCCGCCTCCCAGCTCTCGCGAGAGCGGGGGCGGGGCCTGCGCCCTGAGGTCCGCAAGGGGGCGGGGCCTGAGATCCGGGGTCCTCCTGGACCGCGGTGCAGGCGCGAGGGCGGCCTTGGGAGTCGAGGGCAATGATGGAGCGCATCTTTAACAGAGCCTGGGCGCTGAGACCGGGGTTTACATCTTGTCGCGCCTCTGTGTTCTCATCTGCAAAATGGGCATCTTCATCCCCTCCCGTCCCGTCCCTTCACCAGCCCTCGAAAGGGGGTAACAGCGGTTCTCCTTTTTTGAAGAGGTCGTGTTGATTGGGCCCCTCTTCGGAGAGGTGTCAAAATCGTCAGTGCACTTAGTTCTGAAGTTGAGATGAGTCCGCTGTGATGGTCCAGGGCGGGAAGCAAGCTGCCTGTCCTCTACACCTGTTTATAAACGGGCGTAGCCTAAGGATGGAGAGCCCTGGGTGTCTCAGTGGGGAATGAGTCACCTATCCAACCTACGTTCCGGGCGCTGCGGACGCAGAGAAGAACAGGACGAACATCCTTGCCCTCAGGGGCCGCTCACGTTTTTAAATGGGGAAACACTGAGTCAACAAGTGAACAAAACCATCTTAGGTTATATTGAGTGCTACCAAAAAAACAAACCCGGAAGGATATGGCACTGATGGGTCACGGAAGCCTTTCTTTGGGGTGGCTTCTGAGCTGCTGCCTGAGAGTCAGGAAGGATGAGACAACGGAAGGTCAGGAGGTCAGAGCGCTCCGGGATGTGGGGATAGCTCGTGCAAATGTCCTGAGGTGGGGAGGGACAAGCTTGTCTCTTTTAAGGACCAGTGAAGAGATCCACGCACTCCTGGAGCAGAGTGGAGGTGCGGTGTGGAGGTCAGAAAGTGAACATGGTCCAGGGTAGGTCATGCAGGGCCTTGTGAACCATGGAGAGAGAGCAGTGTGGTTTCTATTCCTGCCACTGATGAATTTTCAGCAGGGGAGGTACACCATCTGATCGCTGGCTGTCATTTGGAAGATGGCCTTCTGGGGGGACGGTAAAGTGGATCTTTGATCTCAGTTCTCTATAATACATTATTTAACCATTCAAGAGGTGTTTGTTGAGCTCTAGGTAAGTGTAGACTTTAGGTGCAACGTATTTCCATCTGTGTACATAAGATGTACCCACACACGTTCACATGCAGGGAATACTGTTAGAAAGAGACACTAAAAAATTGGAGAGGGGAGCCGGGATTTTCGAGTGAGGGAGAGATGGATTTTTTTTGTAAAAGAGTCAACAGGATGTGGGGCTGCCAAGTGGGCAGGCCCAAGGTGACTCAGGTTTGCAGTGTGAAGATGCCGTGAGCTAGATTTTCGACGCTGTTAGAATGTGTCAAACCCACTCCCTTCTTCACCCCCAGCGCCCCACCCAAACCTCACCCATCTGTCCTGCCTGGAAGGCCCTACTTCTTGCAAATGGGATGCCTGCCAAGGCAGTGGGGCCACGGGGCTGTAGCCCAAAGCGCCAGGAGTCGGGGGCAGACTGCATGGTAAATTCGGAGGCAGAGAAGGGAGACGAAGCCCTGATTCCCCTTAAGCCCCAGGAAATGCCCAGCTGATGAGGTTGGTGGCTCATGGCCGTCCTCCTCAAGTCTGTCCTCACATCGGAGTCTTGCAGAGAGATGCACACAGTGGCGGTTGGGCAGTGGAATGGAGAAACTTAGAGGGGGAGGGCAGGGAGGACATTCAAGGGACTATGTTAAATGCTTTTGTATAATGATGGACAAATAAAGGGCTGCTGAGACCCACTTGCCACCTTGGGGTTTTTTCCCAGCCACGCTCAGCTTCCCCAGACAGGTGCGGAAGAGAGAAGGTGCGGATGCTCCAGAAGGCTCTGCTGGCCGATCTGTCTTTGACACCTCGTCTCCCAGCCTCCTGTTGGGTGGGTGTCATCTGCCTGGAGTTCTCCCATCCTAACTTAGGTCATTCTGTGTGGTGTTTGCCACAAAGAGCCACCGACACCACCCTTTAAATCCTTCCTGGTCCCTCCAGCAACTCCCACTCCCTCTGTATCTCCCCACTCCAGGCCGGAAGCCCCCAATCTGGCTTTGTCTCTCCCAGCCTGGCTGCTCATTGAGGGGCTCCCAGTGGGTTCCAGCTGCACCCGCAGGACTTCTGAAGGGCTCAGACCCAGCACTGGTTTGGAGACAGCTGGGAAGACCAGGATCCAGCCTCATCCCCTCATCTGTGACAATAAGTGCAGACAGCCAGGGCCCTCGAATGTTGGAACCAATCCTGACCCCAGGTGCGGGAGGGCTAAGAAGGCACAGACACGGGGTGGGTGGGAGGGTGGTAGCAGCCAGGGATGGCTCAGGGGAGCTTACGGGGGGGCCATGCCTCCTTCCTCAGGGTCCAGTTGGGTCCCCGATGGTTTCGGGAGCTGTAGGTTCAAAGCAGACAGGACCCACTGGACCATTTTCTGCAGGAAAGCTGGCATGCAGCTTCCAGAAGCTCGACAAACTCGAGCTTTCAGAAGGGGGGCAGGGGCATATATGAGTTCAAGCCTGGCTCTGTGGGATCTTGGGTAAGTGGCTCAACCTCTCTGAGCCTCCATTTTTCCACCTGTAAAATGGGGCATTGGCTGCGCCCACCTCACAGGGTGGTGAGGAGGTCGTCCTTGTTGCTGCCACTCAGTAAGTGAATTCCGTTTCCACCTGGCAAACGTTTATTGCCCCAGTGATGAGGGAAGGAGGGAAGTCACGCTTGTCAAGGCCCCCCCGACTGGGCCCTGCACTTCGCCAACGTGACTCGACTCATTTCGTTCTCACAAGGCAGCTGGGAGGTAGGTTCCGCTGTCAGCTCCGTGTGACACAGGAGGAAACGGGGACTTGACTAGCAGGTGTGACATGGGGGAGGCCAGGGCCAGGGGGTGGCTGCAGTGGTGACCCCCAGACCCAGGGCCTGGGCTGAGCTGGGCTGGGCTGGGCTGGAGGCCACAGGACTCCACCTTGTGGCCAAGGCAGCCAAGGAAAGCGAGACCCCCGCTGGCAGGGCCTGGCCCCCGTGTCGGGCAGGTGGGCGAGCAGACTCCGGGGGACCCCCGGCTCAGATCTTCTCCACGTAGTTTCCTGGGAAGAGGCCCTCCTGACCGTGTAGCCGGCCTTTCCACCAGCCCGAGGAATCTGGGGGAGAGAAGGGAGCATGAGGCAGCGCCCAGCCCACCCGGGAGAAAGCCTCATGCTGGCTCAGTGTCTGTCTTATTCGTCTCCACCGGCCTGGCAGAAGGCAGAGGCAGAAAAGAGAGTTGTCAACAGATAGAAGGAAGGGATGGAGGGACGGACACATGGTTTTTCTGGCCACTGGCTCACACGCCGTCACTTTCTAGACCATTCTCTTGTGCTCTTCCCTCCTCATCTCCTCTTGCAGGCCCCTCCCAACAATCCCCATGGTGGACCCAGGAATGACCCCTATGGGGCTCCCCCATCCCCCTGCAGAGGGAGCTGTTGAGTCCCAGGCCCCTCTGGGGGCAGCCCAGGGGACTAAGGTACGAGGTGGCCTATTTCTTACTCACAAGGGGTCACAAGGGGCTCTGCTGTTAACCCTGTTTGACAAGTGAGCAGTATGAGGCTGGGGTACTGGATGTGATGCTATGAGGCCAGGCTCCCAGGGTGGCTTAGACTCAAGGCTTCCATAGGGCACAGGAGAGGGTCTCTCCAGCTGGCTGGGTGGGAGCTGGTTGCCTCTGTTCTCCTCGGGAAAGGTGTGCAGTCCTGGGGGGCTGCCTGGCCGTGTTGGGGTTCTGGCTCCTCCCACCTCTCCCCTGCGTGCACACACCTTCCATGAGGATCTCGATGACCTCATTCACGTTGAAGCTCAGCTCGTCCACGTCTTGGCCCACGTACTGGTACAGCGCCCTGCACCTCGGGACGTGTGTCCGTGGCTGGGGCTTGGGCCGGCCCACCCCGGGCACAGGGCGCTGCCCCACGCTACGCTTCCTCTGCATGCTGTGGGGACAGGGCACTTGTCACAGCCCCACACAGTCCCGCCTCCACCCACCTCCTGGGGCCGCCCTCCCACCCCACCTACCCGGCCATGCCCTGGTCAGGCACATTGAGGAATTCTGTGTTGTGCTCTGAGGGGAGCTGTGCCCTGGGGCGTCTGCTGGCCCCCAGGGCTGAGGACGGAGGGCCCCGAGGAGGCCGCTGGGAGCCCCCTCCAGATGTGATCTCCAGGGGCAAGGGGCCCCCTCTGGCAGAGGGGGGCACCCCGTTGCGGTCTGGGCCTGCAGTAGGAGAAAGGACGGGGGCATTTACCAGGGTGAAGCTAGGAGGATTTGGGGAGGACTTAGCTCCAAGTTCTCACTCTGAGGGAGGAGGCATCCACACTCTCAACCCAGGATGGTAAAAGACTGGGCCAGTGGAGGGGACCTAGGGGTTAGGATGGACTAATGGAAAGTTCTGCAGGGGTAAGATTTTCCCCTACCCCCTTCTGTAGAGGGCTTTTGTGGGTGGGTCTTGGAGGATGAATAGGAGCTCGAGTGGAGTGGGAATTTGGGAGAGAGGCAGAGCAAACAGCCCAAGCAGAGGCCTGGAGGTAAGAACACATTGGGTAAATTGACAAAATAAGATGGAGTTTGCATGACAAGAGTGTAAGATGGGAGAAAAGGTCAGTGGTTAGCTGAGGCCGGATTTGGAAGGGCTTTGAATACCAAACTAAGTTTAGCCTTTAATCTGTAGGAGATGGGGAGCTATGGAGAGTTCTGCACAGAGAAGGAGAGAGTGCTCAACTCTGCTTGTTAGATCCGGTTGACAGGAGGTCTGGCTTAGGAGCCCACAAGAGGCAAGCGAAGACACTTAGTGGGGGGGCACCCCCTCACCTCTGGGGGGCCTCGGGGCTGCCCGGGTAGGGGCCGGGGCCGACCTTCGAGGTCTTCCCTGGGCCATCCCTTTCCGTGTAGGCTCTGCAAGGGAGAGGGGAAAGAAGAGAGGGATTTGCGTGGTGGCCAGGCGGGACCAGGCTCTTGGCCCCGCCCACAAGCCCCATCCACTGGCTCCGCCCCCAGAGCCCGCCCCCTCAAGCTCACTGGCTCGCCCATCGGTGCCGCCTCTTATTTACTGGAACACTGGCTCCGCCCAGCATTGGCCCCGCCCCTCCAGGACGCACCTGTCATT